TAGGTACAAGAGTAAATGAACATAAAAATAATATTAGATTAGATTCAGCAAGGCACTCGGTGGTTTCTGATCATATTGTAAAATTTACACACAATTTCAATTGGAACGACACAAAAATCCTAGATTATGAAAGAATTATTATAAAAGGTTGATATCAGAAATGATATATATTAAAGAAGAAACAACAGATCAACCTAAAAAAGGACACCGAGCGTCTTGACGGTTCTATTATGATATTTTAAAAAAATTGTCTACGTCATCTTAAAATTGGGTATATATACAGCGCTCTGACATTGTAAGATACAGATATCGATTTGTTTTTTAAAAAGTACACATTGTGATTATGTTAAGTAAAAAGAAATAATTTTTAACAAGGGTGTTATGTTCGTTGACAAAAACGTAAGTTAATACTATTATTAAAAATCTAAATGTATTGTAATATTTGAGCGGATATATTAATTTGTTCACAGTGTCGTTACATAATATAACAGCATCTGACGCTCTAACTCATGCCAACAATCATGAATTTTATACTGCGTTCGTCATATAATCTTATAATTGTTGTATTTATTTATGAGGTCGAAATGACTAAATTAATTTTTTAACATATTATTAGGATATTGAGAAAGACTGTCGTACAGTCGAAACGTTTATCGTAACTTTGTATAGTATGACGTAAATTAATAAATAAAAATTTTTCAATTATTAGCATATAAGCTCGTTAAGTTGGCCTTTTATTATATCACATATTTTAATTGTATACGAGCCGAAGTTTAATTTATAAAATATATATATAGATTTCTTACTTTTTGACGTTCTTGCGCGAATTTCGCGCAAGCGAAAATCCACGTGTGCGATTCGTATCTCTCTTTTCTTCCTCGTATGTACATTATTTTATCTACCGAAGAGTTAAGACAGTTTTTTTTTTCCAACGCGCTTGTACATACAATTCACGTAATGATTATTGACACGTTTTCAGAATAATCTTATCTCTCTTTATTTTTACTAAATTGCATTGAAGTCAATGTGGGGCTTTCCACGTATTTTATTTTCTTTATCGCGCATTCTTGTATACATTTTACAGTTTTATAAATCATATTTCTCTTAAAAATGTCGAATTAAAACCACTCATATTTAATATTTTTCTCATCTCGTTAAGTCAAAATAGTTTTACAAAATTTTGCTCAACGCATTAGAGAAAAATCTTGCAGAGGATATATAGATTTTTAATATACATCAAAAATGTATATTTTGAAAAATATGATTCCTGGAACGCGAGATAAGAGTCAATGCGAGGCTTTTTACGTGTTTTATTTTATTTTTTCCTTTTTATTGCACATTCTTGTATCATTTTATAAATCACATTCTCTTAAAAATTGTCGAATTAAAAATACTCATATTTAATATTTGTTCATCTTGTTAAATCAACACATAATTTTATGTGTACAAGATAGAAAATTTTGCTCAACGCATCAGAGAAAAATCCTGAAGAAGATATATAAAATTTTAAATACCAAGCTATATGTATATCTTGGAAAATCTGATTCCTGAACGCGAGATAAGAGTCAATGTGAGGCTTTTTACGTGTTTTATTTCATTTTTCCTTTTTATTGCACCTTCTTGTATCATTTTATAAATCACATTCTCTTAAAATTGTCGAATTAAAAATACTCATATTTAATATTTGTTCATCTTGTTAAATCAACACATAATTTTATGTGTACAAGATAGAAAATTTTGCTCAACGCATCAGAGAAAAATCCTGAAGAAGATATATAAAATTTTAATATACCAAGCTACATGTATATCTTGGAAAAGCTGATTCCTGATTACGAGAGGAGAGAGCGGACCGGATAACGTATGGAAAAGTACTGTCGAATCCTATAATCATTAATGCAGCAGCTGTGCGTCTCATAATCGAGCTAAAACTATCGATATAATAACGCGAGGGACACATGGGTTTGCATCGTTTGTAGACGATGATGATTTGACCTGCATAGGGGTTACGCGTGCGTGCGCGCGCCGGATTAAACCAATTAAGACGCAATTTCAGGGGAGAAAAGAGGGTTGGAGGGAGAGCGATATCTAATAAATGCTGCCCTCGCGAGTTTCTACGCAACACGAACATTATCGCGATTGCGAATTCCCATGTAATTGGATTCTGGTTTTAATCAAACATCATTCTCGCGGGCTATATCCGCGAAAGCTCCAATTTCGATGGGATTTTATTCTTTCGCGGTATCCTATAAATGATTTATTACAAGGACGAAAATACATACACGTTGGAAAAATCAGAGTAATAAAATGTGATAAAAATGACTTTTTTACAACGCAGATTTTGCTTCTGTCTGCCATAGCTCTGGGAGCAGAAACAGCTGGAAGAGAGGCGAGAAAAGGAGAGGCTGGATGCTCTCAGGAAGAAGGACAAACTCGATCACAGCGCAAACGCGTCCACCGAAGTCAAGCAACGCCTTCAGGTAAGTTTTCTGCCTCTTCTCTTTGTACAAGAAATTTTTAACATTCTCGGATTATACATTTTATGCGAGAATTCATGTTTATTTTTCGATTTTCCTGGGAAAGTGCGCTTATACGATTCACGACACTATCTCTTACGCGCTAGTAAATCATTTTCAGTGAAAATAAAAATAAAGATAAATAAAATTAATAAAGCTTAACAAGATTTTTTTTCGTTAAACTTTTTTTTATTTTTCCAAAAAGTAGTTTGATCGAAGGAGTAAAAGCAGTTTATTGGAGGAGTCGAGTTTAAGTATTGATTTTCCGAGTTTTCACATCGGCATGCAGTCTGTCGTGCGAGTCTACACGATTCTCTATTTACAAAGTGCTTACGATTATAGACCTTTCTGGTGAACAAGAAGCAGAGAGAGGCAGCCGCGGCGAACGGAACTGTACCTGGTACACCTGGATACAGGAGCTGGTAAGTTGTCGTATCCAATTAATATATACACGGAAGGAATAAAATCAAGTTATTAAACTTTGAGGTGTTTTGAGAAATAGTTCTGGTACACTTGGGTCCGGGAAGTTTTTTTTTTTTTTTTTTTTTTCTTTTAATAAATGAAGCTTTATGACTGACATATATACAATCAACACGATTTTATTCTGCATTGAATAATAAGTAGATTCTATTTTGAAAAGTATCTAATCCCCGATTGTCGAATAATCGATGCTGAAAATTAATCTATTCTTCGGTTAAATATTTTTTTCTGTATTTTCAAATTTAAGGAAGATGTATAGATGTTATTTTTCTAAGAATCTATATTTTTTCTATTAAGTGTAAAAACTTGAAAAAATATATACGACGTATTATGTTAGAGACACAAAACTTTCAAACTTCACTTTTTAATTGATTATAAATATGTGTTAAAAATATTTTTTATCGTGTAAATACATGATAAAAATGTCTCTCTTATAATTATAGTAACCGTGCGAATGTTTATATCCTCTCTCTCAAAAATGGAGACAGGTCGCCAGGGGGCATTATATATCATTTTTAGAATAACTTAAGCTAAAAGGAGTTCGCTTGTCGATCGGTTTTGGACGGCACCGAATCAAAATTTGCACTTAGTTTCGATTTTAATGGGTCGCGTCGCGATCTCGTCGTCGTTAGTCTTCGCCGCCGCCGACGAAGTAACGGTAATAGCACAACCTGGCCCAGTTTTCCATTTAGCAACGGCCGATGTGCTCTCTCGACGTTATTTCCTTGTCCCCGCCGATGATAATCCCTGTCTCCCAGATGTATGCAACGCTCGAAATATCGTATCTTTTACTTAAGCTCGGAGGAAGTCGTAAAAAAAAAAAAATTATTTCCGAAAATTCATACACAAACGAGATAATATCTCAAATCGATTAATATATCCTACAAAAAATATGCATAATTTATATTTGTTCCTTTTTTTTATTTATTTATTTTTTTTTGTTAAGTTCAATCATCATAATATTTCTGAATAAAACTTTCTTAAGCAAAACAGATAATAATCCTTAAGGTTCGCCAGTAATAATTAATAAAAATCTTTCCTCAATGGTAAAAGTCGACCAAAACTGGCAATCATTTATTATAAATAATTAATTAAAATACAACGTTTCGGCTGTCATTGCAGCCCTTTTCAAGTAAATCTATAAAAAGTTAAATAAAAATAATTATAATTTTAATACATTTCATTGCAACCAATTCTTAAGCAAAGTTTCTTAGCGTAATTTGAAATCTTACTTTTTAAGTTAAATGAATTATAATTATTCCATTATTTTTTATCTGGATACTAATGATTTGTTCGAATATTAATGAATTTTTAAAAATAAATTCGAACTTTTCAAGTAAATTTATAAAAAGTAAAATAAAAATAATTATAATTTTAATACATTTCATTGCAACCAATTCTTAAGCAAAGTTTCTTAGCGTAATTTGAAATCTTACTGTTTAAGTTAAATGAATTATAATTATTCCATTATTTTTTATCTGGATACTAATGATTTGTTCGAATATTAATAAATTTTTTAAAATAAATTCGAACTTTTCCTTTTTGTGTCCAGGCTGCAATCACAATCGGAATCGTCCAGCACCACAAATGCGGCGCATCCTTACCGAATGCCGCAGATGCTGCAGGAGAAGTTTGGGAACGATTTTCCGCTGAGGAAGACAGGTAATTGTCCCGGGATGTGTGCCTTGAAGACTTATGCATACCTCTCGTACAGGTAGTCTATGTGTGCCGATAGAATGTGTCTACTAAAGCATGGTGTTTCGCTGTCCGAGAACCGAGTTGAATCCCAGAGCAGCTTTTATACGCGTCGATATATACGATATGTTTGCTTTTTTTTTGCCGATTACGACTCCGTATCCAATTATACAGAGAAGGCCAATTGCGTGCGATTCTCTTCTTCGAGACAAGATTCGCTCGATCGGATTATCCGATGGATAAACACCGACACCATACGGCAAGTCGACACGTCGGCGTGTTTTATTAATTATATCCGCGAATCCCTACCTCCCTTTCAATTCAAGATTTCTCGCGAATATCCGTCTTTCCTCTGTGCACGTGACACTTTTTTAATTGATGCCTGCTCGGTTTAAAAAAAAAAAGAAAAAAAGTTGGGCTCGCTTGTAATTTACATCGATCACTTAGAACGAATGATTTGCATATACACAGCAGGCGTCGACATGTTTAACGCGTACGTTCGCAACTAGTTAAAAAAAAAAAAAAAAAAAACCTGCAGTTTCCACGGAGTGAGGAAGCACGCACGGGTAGTCTTGTTCCCTCAGCGATTCCTTTTTATTCTTTAAAAATAGCATCGTTATTTCTCGCGGCGCGATCTATTGCTAGGTAGGTCTCCCGTAGAATTCGAAAAGTAAGGAGACCTGGAAAAAAGTGTAGAATATACACATTGAGAAAGGATTATATTTATGGCACTGGAAGGTAATCTATTTTATGTTCAGCCTTTTCTGGTAATAAATTACGTTTTGTTATACATATATATTTGCTTTTTTATCGGCGATTTTTCGTTTCCATATTTAATCGCGAAAAATGATTTTTGTATAAACGGTATTTACAATGACAGTGGTAAATATAAAAAGAAAATTATTCGCTTCTTCGTTTGTACATTTTATCGTCAAAATTTTACGTGTAAAATCATAGTATTGCGATTACGGAATTTTTCATATCACTTGAGTTTTCATTAAGGCTTCAGTTTGCGCGAGATGGTCTTAGAAATTGAATCTAAGGAATTCTCATTCGCGCGTGTAACAGTTCTAAGATCTCCTCTAAGTATCTCTTCTTCTTCTCTTTTTTTTTTTTTTAATCTTTTATCATGCACATCTCATCGTGGAAAAAGATTTCCATCTTCATTATCTCGCGAGGACAGCTTTTTCTTCGCGCAAGTAAAGTAGAAGTCAAAGTATCAAAAGTACTAGCGATTACAAGAAGACAGGAATACATATATACATATATCGCGCAAAATAATTTCATTCGCGTGTATGATTGCAGAAATATTTACTAATTCAATATCTCAAGCTAGCTTCACTGATAACGTCTCTTAACTTTGCTTAAATACACACTGAATTAATACATCGTACTTCTGCAAGACGTTATACCTTCTTACTTTGTTTGTCACTTCAGAAATATCATTTTTTGACATTTTAACCGCTTTTGACATTTAGCCCGCTTTGACTTCCACTTTTTTTTTTTTTTTTTAATTGAAAAACAAATATCCGGCGCGCAGCCAGGCGAGTGTCACGAGGAGGCCTCTTCGGGAATTTCCGCGGTTCCTTCTTTCTCGTATATCATTGATTATAAATCATCGCGATTTCGCCGACGAAGAAGCGATAATACGAGCGAGCGAATGCGAACGAATCGCGTTCACGTGCTCTCTCTCTCTCTCTCTCTTTCTCTCTTTTCCTCGCGTCTTTATCTCCAATCAATCCCACCCCCACCCTCTCTTCGATGACAATGACCGACTAACATCCGGCTGAAAAATTGGCCAGCCTCGGAGCCGAACCTGCTGAAGGTGCGACTAAAACAGCGAGTGGAGAGGAACATGGCAGCGTCGAGAAACTCACCCCTGATGGCACGCCGGAAGGACCGCCTGCTGTCGCACCTCAAACGGAAGTCGTTACTAGCAAGTACGTTCCTCTCTCTCTCTCTCTCTCTCTCTCTCTCTCATTCTGTCTCTCTCTCTCAGTCTCTCATTACATATACATTTATTTATGCGCGCGCTCGTCTGCACATTCGAGCTTCTTTCTCGAGAGGACTTTGCGAGTATCCTCTATAGAATGAGAGTTCTCTCTATTTTTCCTCTGCGTGAGCATTCGCCGAACATTGTCTGTCTATCTATACAGGATGTATCTAAATAAGTGCGAAAAGTTTGAGGGGATGATTGTTTGTCGAAAATTTAAGGGGAGTTTCTTACCCTCCCAGAGAGTTACATTGTTTTCTTTAAACTTCGGACAAATTGAAGAGATGAAACTTGGTGGATATTTTTTCCACTAATAAAGAGGATATTTATTAATATTTTAATATTAATTTAATATTAATTCTTGATTTTTAGAATCCCTCTCTCTTTAGAAAAGTGTAACTCCTCAAGGAGGAATGTAAGAGTATATGTTGATATAAGAAACAACCCCTCTTAATTTTCGACAAAGAATCATCTCCTAAAATCTTTCGCGCTTATTTAGATACACCCTGTATATCTATCTATCTCTCTTTCATTGCATCCCGAGTGTACGATTAATTGACTGTTGAGTTTTTGACGTTTGCTTATTTATTCTCCTGTAACAGCATGAATTAGACTTCTCTCCGATTAACATATGTAAATTAGTGCTAAAACTGTCAGCTGTCTCTCTACGTTGAATATATTTGAGTGAGTCGTCGCGCTGACGAGGCTGCCCGAATAACACGACGGATCGGAAAGGTGTGTCTCCGAAGAAGGATTGCCCTCTTCGAACGCACTTTTCGACGCGCTGTTGTATTTGTTTGGGTCGGTGTTCCTCGTCGCGTTTCGTCACGGTCGAGATTTACATATACATATACGTGTTACGTTACACGGATGTGCGAGGAGTCGGGTTATTTTCGGAAGATCTCGTCAAAAGTCTCATCAACGTCTTGTTGTTTTCCTTCTCTTTGTCGAGCGCGCGATCATCATCCGCGTATATTATTATCTCGTACATATTTCGTTCTAGTTGCGCAATCACAAGGCGACACACTTAACGTTCCCTCGCCCAAGGTCTTTCGACAAATCCTTGTTATATATCAATTGTACGCTTTTGCAGATTCCGGCAGCAATCCCGAATCCGGGCCTAACTCACCACCGACTGTCAACAACTCTCAAGCCAGTCCCACTGCTGGTAGCAACACGGCGATACAGGAAGTAAGTGTTAGTCATGTCGTGTGTATTGAAATTTCTGTATTAAGATGATTAGAATACTTACGAGAAAATATTTCGCTCGCAGGAAGGTGAAAATCCACCATACGGAGGACGGCTCACTAGCAGTAGTCAACAAGGCAGCCTTTCGGATCTTTCGCTCTTCAGTTCACCGTCCATGCCTAACATCTCCTTGGGTAGACCCCACGTGCCGTCGAGCTCATCGGTAATATTTTTCATATTTTTATTATATTTTATATTTATTTTAATTAAAAAAAAAAAAATGTGTATTTAATAATTTCGGAAAATCGGTACTTTGCGAGCATTTTTGACAGCTGTCACTTTCCTGTTGTAGAGCGGGACAAAGCTGGCGCCGGTTTCGGAAGCGGAAGTGCGCGCCGCGTTCACGGCACGCCTCGGGATGCCGCTGACCGGTCAGATGCTCCACGGCACTCTACCGTTCTACCCGTCCCTGACGGTGATCGAGGGCGAGCCGGCGTACATCCACAAGCAGATCCAGCAGAGCTTGCAGGAGCAAGCGGCACCGCCGCCGTCCGCGGCGGCGGTAGGCGCCGGCAGCAGGCAACATCCGGCAGCGGCCGCGGCGGTGTACCACACCGCGGCGCCGATCACGGATACACAAGTAGCGCACGCGAGACTGCATAAGGCTGGTCACCGGCCTTTAGGTAGTATGTTCCCTCTTTGTCTACGTAGAAGCCCTTACGTCGTGCGTGTGCCCTGTTCCAATTGGACAATGGTCTCTCTTGAGCAAAAGCGGTTCCGGAAGAACGACTCGGCCGACGAAAGAGCCGAGTCTCCCGTAGTCTCTCGAGGAGCCATTCCCGTGCGAAACATAGCACGGCACGCGCGTTGTTCTATAACCAATATTGTCGGCGATTCCGAGGCTCTCACGGCTTCTTCTTTCTGTCGCGTAGGTAGAACCCAATCCGCGCCGCTGCCCTTGGGTCATCCAATGCTGCAGGGCGGCATAATTGCACCGACCCCTACTCATTATGAGGAGTATCTCGCGGAAAAGCAGTTGCACGATCAACAGCACGCGCACAACCTTCTGAAGCAACAGATCCGTCAAACGGTGCTGACGCGAGTGGGCTCGCGCGGCCAGGCTAATCAATTAGACGAGGCGCCGGAGATCAAAGAGTCCGAGGTGATAGATCTCACGGGCAAGAAGGATCATCCGGAAGAGAGCGAGATCTCGAAGCAGCAGCGGGATCGCGAACAGTTTCTGCAACAGCAGAGGGATCTCATGATGAGACACACGCTGCAGACAAACGAGTCAACCGTCTATGCCGGAAGTAGGACCTCTCAGTCGGCCAGGCCGCTCTCGAGAGCGCTTTCGAGTCCTCTAGTACACTTAGGTAAAGCTTTCAATTTTTTATAAATTTTTTATAGATGTAAAAGAGTCTTGTTTAATAATCTTTCAGTATTTTTGATGAATGTAAATTTTATTTGATACGTTGAATAGATTTACATTTATCTTTGATCGGATCGCTATGAAATTCAAACCTATATGGAATATAGAACAGAAAAATTTGTATTTGTAACTTGTAAAATTTGATCTGTTTCCGAAGGTCCTCAGGCCAGTAGCAGCGATATGTTTGCGCGAGGTTCTCCGCACCGAGCCACTACTGGATTAGCATATGATCCGCTGATGCTGAAACACGCGTGCGACTGCGGCGACACGGTCAGAAGTCATCCTGAACACGGTGGCCGATTACAGAGCGTGTGGGCCAGACTTTCGGAGACGGGTCTATTGCAGCGTTGCGACCGAATACGCTCGCGCAAAGCTTCGCTCGACGAGATTCAAACATGCCACAGCGAACCGCATGCGCTCTTATTTGGTGAGTTCTGCTTCTTATGTTATTTCTTATCTTTGCAAATAACTTTAAAGGAAATAACATTCGTCATAATTTTAAATTGTTAGTCTGAGAAAATTATTTAAAAAATTATAAAGTTTTGTATTGGAAATTTGGTATACATTTTTTGTTTTAAACTAATCGTGTTAATATTAAATAATGTTATGTGTTTATGAATTTAATTGAATGGATTATTTCTAGTTTTGTGTGATTGTGTGAATGTAAATAAACGTATTAATACTAGCTTTTGATGTTATTACAAATTAAATCGTAAAATGTTACTGGAAAGGAGAATCAAAAAATCATGCTTAAAAAGTATAAGGATTCTGAATCCTAAACTGAAGAATAAACTTATGCTTTATGATTTCGTGATGTGTGCAGGAACAAATCCAATGAATCGACAAAAACTGGAAATGTCCAAACTTGCGCAATTGCCTATCAAGAGCTTCGTCCGGCTTCCTTGCGGCGGAATAGGCGTTGATTCCGACACAACGTGGAACGAAATCAATACCGCACCCGCCGCTCGAATGGCGGTAGGATGCGTCGTCGATCTTGCGTCGAAGACGGCGATCGGCGATATTAAGAACGGTTTCGCCGTGGTGAGACCACCCGGACACCATGCAGAGACTAACCAGGCCATGGGTTTCTGCTTCTTCAATTCAGTAGCGATTGCGGCGAGGCTGCTTCAGCAGAAATACAACATTAGAAAAATTTTAATCTTAGACTGGGTGAGAATCAGCATTATCCTGTAACACGCATGGTTTTGTACTCAATGTGCAGTTTATTATTGTAAATTTTTATGTATAATGGAATTTTTTATACATTTAGTGTAGTATGTTATAATACATTATAAGTAATAGTATTATTATACTATATATACACATACACACTATAGCATATACTATTTACTTTTAAAACACCCAATACATAATATAACAAATAGTATAATAAATAATAGAAATCGAGATTGTGGATATGTATGCTCTATGAAAAAATATCCTAGATGTTATATCACACGATTTTTTCAAGCAGGACGTTCATCATGGAAACGGCACCCAGCAAATGTTTTACGACGACCCTCGAGTGCTGTACCTGTCGATACACAGACACGACGACGGTAACTTCTTCCCTGGAACCGGCGGACCCACCGAGTGCGGCGCCGGCGAGGGCCTCGGCTATAACGTGAATGTGGCGTGGTCCGGTGGCCTGAATCCACCCATGGGCGACGCGGAGTATCTCGCGGCGTTCCGCACCATCGTCATGCCGATCGCCAAGGAGTTCGATCCGACCATCGTGATCGTCTCGGCCGGCTTCGACGCAGCCGTGGGCCATCCGGCGCCGCTGGGCGGCTACAAGGTCAGCCCGGCGTGCTTCGGCAGGATGACGCAGCAATTACTTAATCTAGCTAACGGCAAAGTCGTCCTCGCCCTGGAAGGTGGTTACGATCTCGCGGCGATCTGCGACTCAGCGCAGGAGTGCGTCCGGGCACTGCTCGGCGACGAGCCCAGTCCACTTCGAGACGAAGAACTCGCGAGGATTCCCTGTCAAAACGCCATTGACACGTTGCAGAAGACCATCGCCATTCAGGTAGATTAATTTTTTATATACATTTACATATATATATATATATTTATATTATTTATATATATAATTATATTTATTAAATATATTATATTTATATAATAATATTTTTTTTCTTAAAATTATTTCATTGAATACAAGTATTTAATTTTATAATATTTACATTTGTAATGTATTACATTTTTAGATGTCACATTGGCCTTGCGTAAAACTCGCTGCTCATACAGTCGCAATGAGTGCAATAGAGGCGAGCCAAAAAGAACATGATGAGACAGAAACAGTGTCTGCAATGGCCTCTCTGTCTATGCAGCAGCCTACGAACCTCACGTTAGTACTTATTAAATTTCTTTTTTTTTACATAATCTATATTATTAAGTAAAATAAATCATGCAACTAAATTTATATACATTTATTTATGTTTGTGTACGTGATTGTATATGCAATTTCATTATATAAAAACGCATTTATTGCACAGAACCACGCCAGAACATTCCCGAGAGGTTTCCGAGGAGCCGATGGAGCAGGACGAGGCCAAATGAGACACGCGAAGATCATTCTGCTAGATGTAGAAAGCATAATTAATTGTACGAAACTGTGTAAATGCTCTTTGGGATGACTAGAAGTGCATTTCTCAGTGTAAATCAAGGGACTATCGTCGCGCACGGCTACTGTGACAGGTGCACGGTCAGCCGGAAATGTTCCCACTTCGTGGGAACTTGATCGACAAAGTGCGAATTCATGCACAGTCCCAAGTTTACAATTTTTAGTTTATTTAAAAAAAAAGGCGCAATAGTTTGATACATAACGGCCAAGTAATAAGGAAGAAGTGATCTGTAATATTTCGGGAGATTAATGAGACAATTTGTGATGGTGCATCGCAAGCTTGCGAATTGGATCTCCTGTTTTTTTGTTCTTGTTTTTGTGCTAACGTGAAAACAAAAAGTTGTTTACGAGTCTTGCAAATATTTCTATTGTTCTTCGCGCATTTGGAACGCGAGATTGTTGTACAATTACTGAATACGGACTGCGAATTGAATTTGTTGTTCCGTAAAGACGTTTTTTTTTTATTGTGAAACGCAAGGTTTGTAATATTTTTAATGAATCGCTATTAATACTGATTGAAGTAAAACTTGAGCGCCCTAAAAACAGCTTTCGCCCACCAAAATTGGATATCGCTTGGCAAATTTTCGATCCCAGTGTCTTATCGACGAACAACGAATGATTTTGAGACTCTGATATCGAGTAAAAATCGGAACATTTTGCAATGTTATTAAGAAAAATTATTCTTGTCTAGGCAGTTGAAATGAAAAAGGAGATTTTTAGACCAAGCGCATCGTAACTTCGGGAATTCGGTGGAAGATAAATAAAATTGTAAACACACACATTTTCTTCGAAAACTAACGTTACAGACATCCACCAATACTTTGTTGAATCGTTATCGATGTATAAGTAATGAGGCGTCGAACTTTCTCACAGCTGTATGAAACAAGTCTGATGCATCGTTGTTGCCTTGGATAATTCGCAGGAAGAATTAATCATTCGTGATAATTCATGTATATATTTTTGAATGCTAATCGCGACCTTGGGCGTCTGCTTAGAACAAAACTTTAAACGAGTCATTGTATTTTAAACGAAACATTCAGGGAGACAAGTACAGGGAATTTGAGAAAGAAACTGTGTTAAACTCAACAAACGCATAAACTCGAATCGTAGAGATTCCTTTTGTATATGCGCCTATCGCATTGACGAAAGACAACACGGGGACACATATAGATAATAACAATCATGAAAAATGTCATGATTTTTCGGTACGTACAATCACATCCTTTCGGAAGCGTCTTTATTTGCAACTTTAAATTTTTTAAATTAGAGAAATGTATTACAAATCGCGTCAAACAGAAAGCTTTATGATAAGAAAACACTTTAATATATATTGAATATTTTATATATGCGAATTCTTCTTTCTCTCTTTGTGGCGATTCGAAGAAGCCTCCCGCTTTAAAAATACTCATTTGTTGTAAAAATTTAGTAGAAAGAGCTAAAAAAAAAACTGGTACATTGTTGAATCTAAAATTTCACATCAATGAAGTTTTTTGAATAAACCAAGATGCGCGAATCTTTCCCTGGAAAGAGACTATCAGACTATCGATGCATGCGATGGAGAGAGAAATATTCTCCGAATTTTCCGAAATTTTTGCGTGTACGTCGGGCTTCGCTTAAAAAGAGTACCTAACAACGTACAATACAATAATTGGACAAATGTGTATTTATAAAAGACTAGCGTTAGATGTGTATTTTCGTCGGAGACGTATCGTGCTGGTCACTGGCGCTTCATTGTTTCTCATCGTCCGCGATTCGCTTTCCCTGTTCTTCGAGCAATTCGGAGTACGAATTTGCAGAAAAAGCTGCCTGCCAGTTGAGCGAGCACTTTATTTTTTTTCTTTTTTTCCGAAACGAGCCACAATTCGTGATACGTGATAGAAAAAAAAACGAAAAAGAAAAAATACAGTTGATGTCTATATCCTAAGGCGATATTATGTCGTATGCGCGAGTATGTGCGAATATGTATATGTATACGACGGCACGTGCGAACACTGAAACATGAGAAACATCACTAAAAAAAATCACTCGTCGTATCATCTGCCAAGATGCTAAGAGAGTTGCCATGGCGCAGATTGCTTTACTTGATTATATTTGGCTGTTGTCAGATGATATACAGTTGACATGAACAATAATCTTTAAATCCTTTTGCTATCGAGAAAAATAACAAGATCATGCAAGATATTAGAAATCATAAGTTTCATTCAAAAATTATATCTCGCTACAATTAGTTATATTTATTCATGTGACCAAATTTTTTACTCAATTGTGTTTCGTGTGATTCAAATTATAATAATATATATCATATATATTATAATATTATATATATATAATATATTAATATTATATTATATATATATATTATGATATTGTAATTATTCAATAATTTAACTCGATCAAGCTTTGATTCGCAAGCAATTATTTGGGCGCATTGGATTAATAGAAATTGATAAAACAGCATGTTTATCAAGTGCGTAATATGCATGCATTGATTCACTATAAAGGCATTTGAAATAAATCGAGAGAGGGATTTTAACATTTCGTTTGTTTTCTTCAAAATTCCAAATACGAATTTACATGCTCGAAATTTATAAGTATTTACTGTATAAAATTTTATCGTCTATCTTTGCTATTACGCGAATCACTGCCAAAGATAATTATATGGTACGATACATGTTTCTCCACGAGAGCACGTGCAGTTGCATTAAATACAGTGTTAAAATATATGTTGTTAATGTTATATCAAGTGCGAGAGGGCGAGGCGCAGAACGAATCGAGAAGGTGTCAATCTGACAAGATTTCAACAACTTGGTTTCTTGCTGCGAACAAAGGCTGGTGTGATTTTTGTGATATTTTGTAAAAAAAAAAAAAAGAAGGGAAGCTCTAAGCTATATACGGTTAAATTAAGAGTATACGTATCGCGGAGATGCCTATATGTGTGTATGTGTGAATGCGTGTGTGTAGGAAAAGGTAAAATATAATTCACAGATACAAGCATTTATTTTTGTGTCATGCATTTTACGAAGAAAAGGATGAAAAAAGAGGAAACAAAGATGAGAATATAAGAGAACAAATCTATAAACGAATTACACGAGGATGCATATATTATATATATCGTCTGTCATGTAAGAGATAAAAAGATATAGATATATACATATATATATATCTTATATAATTCTATATATATATATTAAAGTATACCAATATCTATATATATATATATACATGTACATTGTATATCCGTGTATCGCAAGAATCTCAAGTGTCTGTTACATGTTTGTCCTGATAAAAAAAATTCACCGAGGAAACGTTGCGTGTATAAAAATCACGACTCGATGTATATTAAGTATAAATATATACGAGTCCAGCCTATGTGTGTATACAGTAAATTAATTAACAAGAACGACAGAGAAAATGAGAGAGATAGTGTGTGTGAAAGAAGAATGTTAAGAAAGATTCGCAACACACCAGTCTATCGTTGAGTTAAGACAGTAAATGACTCTATTGTAATATTATGAAAGGTAATTTTAAGCGGAGAGAAAGAGAGATGGTGCATATTTCTCTTGTTTATCATTTAAGAGTGACTTCTGGCCATTATAGCGTCATCCGTGATTGTCAGTCGAGCCCTTTTGAAAGTTTACGAAAAGATATATCGTGGGCCTACAAATCCCCTGGTCAACGTTCTTCATAGAAGGATATTCCTATCTCCCCTCTTTGTCTCCGATTTGTTCATCTTGTCACCATTGAGCCCTTTATTGCTCGATCGTACCCAAGCGATTGAAATATTTAAAAGATTCGTATTTGTATTCCGGATTAAATGTTATTCAATAAATCTAAATTTTCATTTATATATAAAGATTATAGTAGAATTATATTTGAGATTTAAAGGCACACTTTTTTTGTTTAGTACTAAATGTAGGATATGAATACATCAGATAAGATTTTACAAACCTAACATTAAATATGACTGCTGTCTGCTAATGTGAACACATATATAATATTTTCTCATTTCATAATAAAATTCAAATTTAAATTGTCGCATTTTAGCCCTAAATAATACGGAATACGAATATGGATCTTAATCCTTTTAAACTGTTGTATTGCTTGGATAGAATCGGCACATGATTGACGATGTGTTTTGCGCGAGTTTTGTTTGAAGCGAAAGTGAGAGAGAGAGAGAGAGAAAGAAAACTTATGACATTCCGGTATCACCACCCATAGCAAGTTGATACAAATTAGATGTAAAGAGCTATAAGTTCTTATTCGAACGCGCCGAGTATAAATGTGAATTTTAACAGAGCTCTACTGTTACGTTATTACACACATGCACGAATATATTGTCTATATTGCATAAGCTTAATGTAATAGTCATAAATTTTTTATGTATATAAATGTACCTCGTAAACTAATTTTAAATAAAAAGTATAGTCATTGTGTTACGTTAGTCTTTCCATATATGGAATATTTGAAATGTCTCTAGCAAAAAAATGCAATGCAACTTGAAGCAATTTTTATCAATACAAGACTAATGTAACTTACAAATTACAATAATTACGAGTTCCAAACTTGAACATAAATTTGTTTATAAAAAAAATTGAAAAATTCAGAATATTACAAGTAGATAGGTAATCACAAAGTTTGAACATTATTTCATACATATCTGTATATTTTAGAGATACAGATGCAATTCATAGCTCTTGTAGACATTCGACATTATTCATACAACACAGTGATAAAATGATTTATACCACATGATTATGTTCACTAAAGTGAAAACTTAATGAAGTTGACAATAGTCAATATCGCATAGCATGAATCGCAATTGGAATAAAAAGGCTTTAATTAAAATGCAGTTTACGTATTGTAATAAGTGTATATATATAAATATATATATATATATATATATATATATATGTATGTATATGTATATATTTATAGATTTCCACACTTTGAAAGTTTGAGACAATTTCCAAAAACTTTTTGAACTCTCTAGTGCAAAGCTAAAATCTAATAAATCGACTTCAATATGTACAGTGGTATGGAAATTGATTCAAGGAAAATGTTACTATAGATCCACCGGACTCCTTAATATACAATCTGTCGTGCATTGTTGTTTAGCACAATTCTGTAGATCTTCAATAAAAAATAATCTCAGATAATATTGAAATTATTAAGGCAAAAAATTATAAAATAGAATTTATAATCAATTCTAAAATTTTGAGAGAATAAATTACCTCAATTGAGAAATATATTTTTTATGAAGAAATTCTTTGAAGCACATAAAAAATACGATTTGCATTATATATATATAATTAAAAAAAATCTTGTTTCTTAATGACAAGATCTTGAAGATCCGACATATACATTTTCCCGATGATTAATCGACTCGTCTTGTATCGAATTCTAGGATTGAAAAATTTATTTCATCGTTTTACGATCGCGTCGTAGATCAAGAAACAATATTCGGAGACGCGGGACTTAGCAGAATTTCCATCGATTTCCACATTCATTACACAACACGAAGGTGGTCATCGGTTCATCGGCTGAGCGAGTCTGCACCTGGTTATACGTGCAGTTACGCTTCTTGCATTTACCGCATTTGAGCAAATCAGTTTTGGTTCCCTGCACAGTGGCGAGTTGCGCGTCATTGATGGCCTCTTTCTTGAACTGTTCGCGCAGCTGCTTAATTTCATCGCTTGCCATCTCTTCCGCCGTCATCACCGCGAGTCTAGCGGGCGTGATTGCGCCCACGACAAAATTCATTCGCAAATTGGGATTCTTCGCGTCACGTAAATTGGCGACTCTACTACGTACCTGCAATCGAACGGATAAAGTTATTGTATTATTACATTACACAAGCGTAAATATTGTTGCATGTATACATAAGAGGAAAAAAAACACGTTTCTGCATGTAATATAATAAGATATTTAATTACCCTATTTTTGTATCTGTTGTCAGTATTTTTAAATTCTGCATAGATTGCCTCTTCCAATTCTTCTGCCAATTCTTCTGGACTGGCGCAACCATCAATGATTTTCCCATCTACACATAAAGCTGATGCTAATAATTGTCTGCATTTTAATCTGACTGCATCTGTTGTTGTAGGAGCAGGGAAGGATGCCTGTTTTCTCTGAATGTCTTTGTTTGGCTTCTCTTCCTTTACTTTGACATCAGTGGCATCCGTCATATCCTTTTCCTTCTTTTGATCGCCATCCTCCTTTCCTTTGTCTGATTTTTCATCCTTCTTCTTTGAACTACTCGATGAAGTAGAATCCTTCTCTTTATTAGACCCTAATATCATAAATTATGTGTCTTAATAACTTGTGTTAAAATCAATTATAAGAAATATAGCTATATTATGTACATAATTATATTACAGTTGTACACACATACCAGATAAGAACTTTTTCCAATTCTTAATCAGAGTTTTTGATAAAGAAATAACTTCTTCGTCTCTGCTCGACTTCCTCAAGGCATTCACAGTCATTCCAATGCGTGTCTTGGTCAAGAGTTCCAAATCAACGGGCAATTTCTGAAGTATCTTGAGCAATTCCAAAGCTTGTTCCTGACCCTGATTAACAAAAAAAATTACATTGTATGCTCAAACATTCTCTATCTTTATTTTTATACACTGATTTTATGATATCAATATTATTATATATCAATATCTCAATATATAGTACTATTTATTTTTGCTTTTCAAATATTTGTAGAAAGCAACAAATATTTTTGTAAAAAAAAAAAAAAAAATTAACTCAGAGATGACAACGATGACATTGAAAAATCAGGCATTGAAATATATACAATGTGACATAAGATCCAAAATATAAAGTTCTAGATGTGTTGACGAGAATGAAATGTTTACGAATTTTTCTAAGGTAACAGACACATGATAGTGAATATGCTTCGTGTGATATCGTGCACCCTAACGCTGACTGCAATCTACATAAACCATGCTACTTTGACAGGTGAAAACAGGTGCATCGTGATATGACGCCTTCGCGCGACTTTCGCAAACTGATAACGCGGACTCGGAATCGACGAGTTGAAAAGGAAAAAAAATACAGCGCCTTCCCACGTAAGACCCAGAGCTCGAGCTCGCGCGCGCCAATATATACGATGCGATCTTTATTTTACTCACTCACTCACCGTCCCGTCACCGCTCGACATCTTGTTGAGCTTCTTCTGGATACGCAATACCTCTTCCTCGGCGCTCATCGTCGCGGGGTTTGCACGGAATTCACCGGGTCGCGAAATCAGTTATAAACAGGCGCGAGAACGGGGACAAACAAAACTTCTGTTTCTCTCTCGACGCCACGGACCGCGATCGTTGAACCACCGATGAGCCGCGACTGCGAGACGGCGAACTCGACTGGAAAGTTCGCGCGATGACGTCATCGTCCTGTGACAGGAGAGCTTTGTCAATCGTGACGTCACGCCCGATCGCAGCCAATCAGGGCGGGCGATGCCTAGGGTTTTTCTGCTGGATCAACCAATCGAGAGATTCTCTGTCGAATCGACCAATCGACGACATGGATGGATTTGACACTTCCTTGACGGCGTGTTTCCTCTCTAAATAACGAATTCGTAAATCTGCACGTGGTCCGAATTCGTCGCGAAGAACATTCAACAGTATATACATTTCGTATAATTTTTTATTGAAATTTTGAGAGACTATTGAATAAGATGTCGCGTTTAATAGTGAAGAATTTGCCGAAAAATGTATGTAGAATATTTAACGTTATATGATATATATTTATTTTTTTGATAAATTGTACAAAATACTTCCCCATGCATGCACATAATTTTGTTCATGATGTCACGTATTTATTTTAACTTTTTACCTGTGTACGCAGGTGGCAGACACTAAACTGAGAGAATTATTTAGTCAAAAGGGTGTTGTGACCGATGTGCAATTGAAGTATACGAAAGATGGAAAGTTTCGACGATTTGCATTCATCGGATTCAAGACAGAGGAGCAAGCAAAATTGGCGCAGTCCTTTTTTGATCAAACATATATTGATACATGTAAAATAATTGTTGAGCAGTGTGCAAGTTTAGGTATGTAATCAAATATAAAAATATTAAATTAAGATTATTGTAGACCTTCTACTGATATAAAATGATACATTTTAGGTGATTCATCTAAGCCTAGATCATGGAGCAAATATGCAAGTGACAGCTCTTATAACAAGATCAATAAAACTCCTGATGTTAAATCGAAGGAAAAACTGTCAGATTGTATAGAAAAAGATAATATAAAAGAAAGTAAAAGTGATAAAAAGAAAGCGAAAAAAAAGAATAATGAAATTAAGGAAACACTTGACAAGGTATAATACATTTTTCTAATCTTTATAATTAAAGATTAATTTTTCTATTAGTCAAGGGAAATTATTGTTCATTAAGTTGTTATATGGCTTTAAATTTTTAGTATAAAGATGATCCTTTATTCACGGAATTTCTGGAATCACATAATGGTGAGGATATAAAAGCAACTTGGAATAATGACATTAATATATCTATGGAAACTGAGGAAGAAAAATCTAATGATGATGAGTCTAAGGATGCCAAAGAAGATGATGAATCTAAGGAAAGTGAAAACAGGGAGGAAAAGGATAAAAGTAAAGAAGAAGAAAAGATTGCGAATAAAGTTGTATCGGATTTAGAAGTATGTATAATATTGTGATTATCATTGAATATCATGTTGATATTAATATTGTATATATTATATATTAATAATGTTTTTAAATTATAGTATATAGAAGCATTAAAGAAAAAGCAGCAAGATGTAAAAAGTGATGAAAAGTCTCTGACTAACAATGTGCCAAAACATGGTCCAGTAACATTCTTCACTATAAAATTACGAGGACTTGGATATAAACATGTAAAAAAGCATATCAAGCAATTTTTTCGTCCTATAAAAGTTGCATCTATACGAATTCCACCTAAAATTAAAGGAATTGCTTATGTGGGTTTTAAAACGGAGCAAGCCATGAAGAAAGCTCTTTTGAAAAATAAGAGTTTCCTAGGTAAAAACCAATATTAATTATGAAATAATAACAAATGTGTGATAAATATATTTTAATATTTTCTATTATATGTTTCAAATTCATGCAGAAGGAAAGCAAATATTTGTATCTAAATATGAGCAAAAAGAGGCAACTGAATCTAACAATGAAGTAGGAAATAAAAATATTAAATGGAAGAAACAAGAAGACGCCTTAAAGAATGAAGAGGATATAGCAGAATCTGGAAGAATGTTTATCAGAAATCTGACATATACAGTCACAGAAGACGATATAAGAAAACTGTTTGAAAAATATGGCCCTCTATCCGAAGTGAATTTACCTGTGGATAAAGAGACTAGGAAACCAAAAGGTTTTGGCATAGTAACATTCTTGATGCCAGAACATGCTTTAAAGGCTTACACTGAACTGGATGGTTCCGTATTAAGTGGTAGAATGTTACATATTCTTCCTGGAAAGGCAAAAACTTCCTTGGAAGACATCGACATGGAAAATTTAACTTACAAACAAAAGAAGGAGCTGCAGAATAAGGCGACGGCAGGTTCATCGCACAATTGGAATACTCTGTTTCTTGAACAGAACGCTGTAGCGGATGCTATCGCGAGTCGCTATAGTACAACAAAGGAACAGTTATTACAAGACGGATCGGATGGGATGAGCGCCGCGGTCAAACTGGCCCTTGGAGAGACGCAAATTATTCAAGATACAAAAGCTTTCTTAGAAGAAAACGGCGTGTGCCTGGACGCTTTCAATCAAGCACCCAAGAAGAGATCAACCACTGTAATCTTGGTAAAAAATTTACCAACTGAAACAAAACTGAACGAAATCCGAGAAATGTTTGCCAAGCACGGGGTACTCGCGCGTATTGTGATGCCACCGGCAGGTATAACAGCATTAGTCGAATTTTTAGAGCCGTCCGAAGCACGCAAGGCTTTCCACGCCTTGGCTTATAAAAAATATAAGCATTTACCGTTGTATCTAGAATGGGCGCCAGATAACAGTTTCGTCAGGCCTGCATCTGAGACTGATATGGTTGCAAGTAATGCAAAAAAAGGGAAAAAATCGACAGATTTGGCAGAAGAAGTTAAAACAGAAGAATCTAATAAAAATAAGAATGTACAAACAAAGGAGGATGATGAGCCACCTGAACCAGACACCACGCTTTTTGTAAAAAATATCAATTTCTCAACTACAGAAAAACAATTGAAAGATGTAAGTAATTAAAATTTTAATATTTATAGGATGATTGTTGTAGTTTTTTTTACGCATAAATGTAGTAACACATTTTTATGTTTTCAGTATTTTGGTAAATGTGGTCCTGTTCATTACGTCACAATAGCCACTAAGAAAGATCCGGAAAATCCGACTAACAAGCTATCTATGGGATATGGATTCATCAGATATAAGAGAAAACTCGATGCAGATCGTGCATTGAAAACATTGCAGATGTCGGTACTCGATGGAAAGAGTTTGGAATTAAAGCGATCTGAGAGAACCCTAATGTAATGAAAATGCTTTGATTTATCATTTTAATTTGTCATGTCGAAAATTAGGAAATCTTAATAAATGATTTACGCTACTTTCTAGGTCTGACGTTAAAACAACGAGAAAGAAGTCTAACATTACTGAACAAACTGGTTCTAAGATTTTAGTACGAAACGTACCCTTTCAAGCAACTCTTGCGGAAATTACCGAATTATTCAAGTATGTACATTTATATATATATATATATATATATATATATATATATATATATACTTTGCCGAAATATCTTTATTAATGCAGAATATATTTTTATTAATTGTTATTTTGCAGATCGTATGGTGAGTTGAAGGCTGTACGGTTGCCAAAGAAATTAGTTGGTGTTGAAAAGCACAGAGGATTCGCCTTCATCGAATATTACACGAAAACAGACGCAAAGGTAATTTTGTACTTATAGAATTTAATTCAAATTAATAAATCTAATGTGCCATACATGATGAAAAATCACCTTATTTAAAGATATTTATAATAAACTATTCCATTTTTTGCTAATTTTATGTCGTTATTTCTTGCAGAAAGCGTTTAAAGCACTATGTCAAAGTACTCACTTGTACGGCCGAAGGTTGGTGCTTGAGTGGGCACAGGCAGATGAAGGTATCGAAGAAATAAGAAAACGCACTGCGAAACATTTCTACAAAGGTAACTTATTTCTTATATCTATTGCATTTTAATAAATAATGCATAAATTAATTCACGTATTGATACGCGATAGAAACTTGTCTTGAAACCTTGCACAAAATTTGTACAAATCAAATAAAGAAGATTTCAAGACAAGTTTGTTGCTTCTACTTTCTACACCTGGCTTATTAGTTCATTTAGCCTGAATTTCAGTATTTATATATTAGAGCCTTTTGGTTTTATAAAAAAGTTTATTCTAGTGAAAAACTTCTTTTTTGCAGAGGATTCAACGAAGAGATTCAAGAAATCTACGTTAGATCCTGAAAGTGTTGGCCTCGTCGAATCAAAATCGATTGACATTTAATATTTAAAAAAATTAAGCGGAAAAATAGTCAATATAAAAACTCTTGTAGTTTTTTTTTGTGATTGTCGATAATTTAACAATTCTGACAAATACGAATGTCACGGACATTATTGGAATCAATATTTAACAATGCTATATTGATTTCCATTTCACATTGGCAAAGATCCAAGTTGATTGATGGGAAGTCGAAAGAATTTTTATTGCGCGATATTGACCTTCGTGTCACGTTTAACTATAACTTTTTCTTCTTTACAAAACGAGTCTGATGTTTAACAATCGATGTAATGCGATGTTTAAGTTACTATCCTTCCACTTATCATAAATGTATGTAACTTACATACGTTACTTATGTTACTTTTCCTTTTCTCTTAACAGTAATCGGTCTTTTTACAATGCACATAAAACACTTTCTCTTTTTTCATTGATTAGTAATGTATAATATTTGTACATAAGTGATGTATAATAATTGTATATATAATAGTGCCAATATAAATATGATAAGTGTATAAATTAATGTTATATTTATACGAATTTTTTAATGTTAAAAAGTGATAACCGGATAAGAAGAGAGAGACAATCATAGTCATGTTTTGTGAAAAATTATTGTAACTTGTGTTTAGGTAACAAATAACATGACTATAATTTTTTCTCTCTTCTATTCTCCCAATCCGTCCTTCTTGTTTCTTAAGATAAAAAATCCAATTGATATCGCTATCTTAAAATTGATTATACAAGCTGCTTTTATAAGGATAATGAAATTTGCTAAAACACCATATATATATATATATATGCAATTATAAATAATTTGCGCCTGCGGAAATTTCAATCAATGCCACAAATTTCACAACTGCGTACAGAATGTATTAAATGAAAAGATCACTATTGCGAAGTTAATTATTTTTTGATACTATCTTAAACTGTTAAAATTGCACGTGAATTTGATTACATCGAAATAAATTGTACATACGGATAAACTTTGAATTTGTCGAGCATTTCTCAGTAGACATTTTTTAGGAATAATTTATCTGTTCCTCTAATGGACAATTTTATCTTATCACATATAATGGAATTCTAATTACACAGATTAGAAAAAAAAACAAATAACAGTTTCAACATCTTCAAAGTTTCCCGTTTAACAATAATCTTCATATTCAACACAATCTTCCACGCTCAAGGAACAGAAGCGAACCGGCAGCGGTAGAGGTAGACAGCGAAGAAATGTTTTCCTTTCACCTCCGCCGCCGCATCACGCCAGAGATTTTGCATCGGGGGGTCCTCTCCCCGGCATCGCGAAGGACTGGAAACGCGGTTCCGGTTGGTGGGACCCAACACCGGTTGGCGATGTTGTCCCACGAAGGTGCTAGTAGCAGCGGTATGGGAGACGATCCCCCATGAAAGTAACAGTGCGCTCGTGGTCCACCTTCGCCAGCTAAGTCAGTCGAGCGCTCTTCGTCTTGGAGAACGTTGCTGGCGCGATTCGTTCGCAGATAATTGCTTTTAAGTGCCGCGACGTCGTCCTTTTTCAGTGTCATCGTCCAGATACAAGGTCAGGAGTGCAACCACGATCGTCTCGCTGTGGATCACGTGCATCCGAAAGCAGATGCACCTGATGCGCGATGTGTTCAAGCTGAGAAAGACTTCTGACTCTGAAGATAGGCCAGAAAATCGTCACCGGAGGATCACATCGAGCAGTTAACCATGGACTGGGTAAGAATAATTTCACTCTCTAATTCAGTTGGTTGAGTCATCACTAGGTAATTATTAGCTCTTTAATTCAATTTCTTTAACTGCACAATGAGCTTCGGGATTCGATTGTTGATGACGAAGTCTGATTTTCTAAAAAACGCTCTATCACAGGCTCTGTCAAAGTGATTAATATGATAAGAACTAGAATAAGACTTATTTGTGTGTTGAACTTTAATTTTAATATATCTCTAGAAAACTTATTCTGGAAAAGTTGAAACTAGAATTTAAAGTGTCAATCAAATATATATATACATTACACACTGGATCGGAAAAATTAATCTTTGGATGGTTTAATTTTCATTTTTATTTTGAAGATAGAAATCTTGCGCGAAAATTTTAAATATCCGGTAAAAACTTTCTTGAAAATGATCATATTTATTTTTCTCTGAATAATTTCCTGGCTGAACTGGAACTAAGTCACTGGGTGACTAGAGTAAAAAATAAACATAAACTGGAGAACACAATTTCCATTCTTACAATGAGATAAGTCATTATCCGATTTAATATGATAGGCATTTCTCATTAACAGTTACATCAACATTAAGCGAAGGTGATAATATGCGGTGTTTTATTAGTAGTTCCTTTCTTGACAATCATCAAGAAGAAACGCGCAATCTTCTTTTTCATATCTATTATCGCACAACCATGAATTTTAATCTTTCTCATTTATTTCTTCACTCAAATATGCATTTAAATAGATTCCGACGTGAAAATTTGCCATCACAATTGTTAAAAATATTAATGAATATATTAAACGAGTCTTTTTTTTATTATATTTGTCTCACGATCTCTTGTCAATCTTTTGACATCGACTTATACCACTTTTGACAGGTATTTCGACATTAGAATTTATGTCGAAACACTCTCGGAAAAGTAACACAAGGACTGCGCTTACAAGACGGGAAGTGCGGACTTTCCTGTGCTCGAATGTATGTTATCTTTGTATCAAACGCAACGCGCAGGTGAAGATTGCGGGATCTCTTCTTGCGCGATGAATAATAATATTTATTCGGGAACTTCCTTCGAAGGAGGCGTTTCCGCGAGGAGAGTTTCCGTTACATTTCCGTTGCTTAAACTCAATTATATTTCATTTTCCGCACACGGTTAGCAATTTATCGTATATATATATATATATACGATATAGTTCCGCGCGAGCGATCGATGATTGCAATCGCATCGATATTAACGAGAAATCGTATATACTTGATTGCGGTCGTGATCTGTCCTATATGATTCCACGCGAGTGCAAAGCAATCCACCTTTTGACGTGACTCGGTGAGGTGAGACGAGGGTAAAAGTCGGAGGTATATTCCTGGAGAGAATTGTGTCTCTTAGAATTTACCCTGAAAATCATGGCAATTGTGAGACAATATGGTATTGGAAGAATTTTATAATTAATTTTATTTAGATTTTTTATATTAATTAAATATTTACCACAATAAAAAATATTAATAGTAAATTTTATTAATCAGAGAAACTTATAAAATTTTATAAAATTCTTTCTTTTCTAAAAGAAAATTCTCTGTGTTAGAGATCAAATTCCGTGAGGAAAGATATATATATATACATGTATATATATATATATATATATATATATATATATATGTATATTCATATTTTTTATATTAATAAAATATTTACCACAATAAAAAATATTAATAAATTTCATTAATAATTTATTAATCAAAGAAACTTTTATAAAATTCTTCCCTAAATTCTCTCTGTTAGAGATCGAATTCCGGGAGGAAAGATAGGTATATATATATGTATTTTTCTTTCGTTGAGTAATACAACACACCCGGGGGAGGCGAGGGAAAAACATTTGACTTGCATATTCGCCCCGCGGTATCAAAACGCGATTCACGAGCGGAGAAAAAACCTTGAGAACCAGAGAGTTGCGAGAAGTGTAAATTTATATGGGCACGTCCGTATAGGCGTAGGCGCTCGCTCCTTTTTATTTTTTTTTTTAATTTTTTTTTCTCTTTTCCTTTGCATCTCACTAGTCACGCTTTCAACGAGTCGACGAGGAGTTTAATGAGCACGAAAGTGAGAGAGAGAAAGAAATAGATGAAGAGGGAAAGGAATATCTCGTAGGCACGACTATTATTCTATGCTGGAAATAATTGATTGTAAAATAATTAATTACGTTATTATAACGATTCAGTACAAAAAAATTAATTCCGAGATCTTGAGAACGAATGATGTTATTTTAAAGTAAAGACTTCAAAGTTCTCAACATGGAATTTTTCAAGAATAACATTACGCGAAGTATATATAAAGAAAAAGTTGAATTTAATACAGGTTGTTCGACAAAAAAAAATAAAAAATGGAAAGTGGAAGATAATGTAATCACGTTATGTAATCACGTTTTATTCCAATGTTCTAGTTAATTCATATTTTATATATTTTATAAATTATTCTTTTATATGCGACTACGATTTACTTCGGTTTTTAGCTTCATTGGTTATTTTTTATTTCTTATTTAGCTAATATACGACTATTACATAGTTGAGCCGCAAGTCGAAATACTAGTCTATCAAGTATTACAGAATAATATTCCATCAAGTATTACAGAGGCATGAAGTGGTACCACCGGTCATTTGAATCAATTTGAATTAATTTTCACTTGAATTTTGGACAGTGAAAGCAGGATCGAATTTATTCGCGTAATCTCACTTCCACGTGTGCAAGTGTATGCACTTTACTGTTCTATATAATAGACGATGCGTCTACTGATGGAAATTGAGATACGCACGCATACCTACATTTTCTCGAATAAATTTTTATGGTTTTTGCGCAAGAAAAATTTATATTTTTACATCACTTTACAAACCAAACTCAGTTATTTTTTACCGCAATGTTTTGCATATGACACACACATTAAAAACATATTTTAAAAAATTATAATTAATATTTTTTATAATAATTATTCTTTCACTTATTATAATTAACTCTATTGTAATTTACAACTCCATAAAGTATATTGCGCTTTACGTAATCCTTATACATACATGTAATCATAATCATATATCAAGATCGTTGTACTACATTGTTATTTTATTTATACATTCTTCACTAAAAATAGATATATTTTTTTTTTATTCAACACTATATGATATAATGGTTTTTCGTATTTTTCTTCTAAATCTGCATATCTCGTAATCGACATAAATATTGAAGAGAGAAAAAATGAAAGATTCATTGCAACAATAATTGGCTCGCTTTCTGCGGAATAATAATCGTCGGAAAAAGATCGATTTAGAAGGCTCTGGGAAAAATATAACGAACCTCTTACCGCGTATCTCTCTCGCTCTTTCTCGCAACGATAGTAGATCAGCGCGGCGCAACTTCTCAGGATTTACGCGCGATTGAACGTATCGCGAGGCGCGCTGCAATGGAAGAGATCATTCGAGGGCGCGATCTATAACCGCATATCGAATACCTGGGAACACGATCGTCGGCTTCCTCTCGAGACGGATGGAAAAAGGAGGGGACCTCGCAATGCAACTCCACTTTAAATCGCCGCAAAGAAGGAGCGAGGCGCGTGTGGCAATTCGATTGCGAAATCGTGACTCGGACGTCGTAATCCTTCGGCGTCTCCACGAATCAACGAGGGCGATTTGCATCGTTTTGGAAGCTGCGAAAAAGTCGCACTTTCAATCTAATGAATAAAAAAATTCACGATCGACAGCAGATCGGAGTCATCGGGATCGCGAAAATGCGTTTTATGGATTTACAATTTATTTTGTTTGTTTCTGCAAAATCAGATTTCGTCTTATAAAGCATTTAAGTCATGTCGTTAAAAAATTATTTGTTGATTTTTATTATACTTAATATTTCGGCTAATATATATTTTTTCTAGAGAAGAAGATTAAATTTATTCGAGATCTCGAAATGTCTTATATGGATTTACAATTTACTATATTTGTTTCTGCAAAATCAGATTTCGCCTTATATAAAGCATTTAAGTCATGTCATTAAAAAATTATTTGTTGAATTTTATTATACTTAATATTTTAGCTAATAAATATATTTTTCTAGAGAAGAAGATTTAATTAATTTATTCGACTCTTTTTTTGGAAAAAAATCTCTGGTTCCGATCTTTTCCGTAATTAAACCGGTTCAAAAATAAAAAAGTGCATATCTCAAATAAGGATTGATCTCAGATCATGCGTCATTTTACGGTGTAACTTCCTAAGTGAAAGTAAATTTGCACATTATATACTCGACCGAAGAGATGCAGGATTTTAATGCCGATTGAAACCGACCTTGTTGTCGATGACCTTCGCAAATACGTTGGCGGATATATTTGCGTGTCCACGAGACACACGTGGAAGAATGCGATGTGAAAGAATAAGTCGATGTCCCGAAATGAAAAGTTTCCTCCTCACTTTGAAAGAAGGGAAAAACGACGAGTCGGAGATAGAAGTTGAAATATAAAAGACATTTACGGAGGACGGACAGCGGTCGACCTTTCAATCGTAGCTTGAGGCAAGATCTTTCGTCGATGTTAAATGCAACTTCATTATTGCTACTATGCAATTTAACATACTCAATGCGATGCTATTACGTGTCTGCTCAATATTTATTTTATTCAAACGATTTCGTGTACTAATTAAATTCAGAGCCGAATTTATGGGCTAATAAAGCAATGTCAAAGAGATTCTGAACAGATTGATTTAATTTTTTATATAAAGCTATTATTATTTAATATATAGGCGATATAGATGATCTCATATTTTTGTGTGTGGTTAGAATATTTTATTTCTACGTGTAAATTAAAGTAAACAAGCATCTTCGAAATCATCTTCTTGCGATTGCGAAAGTTCTGACATAACCATCGTTAATTTAATTCGTTTATCAAAATTCGAAAGCTCTGACATCACCATCATATGTTAATTTATACTTAACCACAAATGGTATGAAAATGTAATGAAAAGCATTTCTTCATCGTCAACAAG